TAACCTACAGTCTGTCTTTTGTAAACTTTAGTTTATTTGTACAGTGTTCGTTCAAACACAAAACAGTAAGTTGTACGGTTATTTTTTTAAGGTTTTTGATGTTTTTGTCACAAATACCGAACTTCCCGCTCCCGGAAAAAGTATAGCCGTACGAATTTTGTTTTGATTTATTTGATCTAATTCGATTTATAATATTATTGTTCGCGTTTCATACGGACTCCGCATACCTACCTACGTTGTGCGGCATTGACGAGCTATTATAACATCAATACTCCGCGGTCGCGATACTTTAATGAAATTGAACAAGTGTAGCGATGTTAAATTTAGTTTTTCCAAACCTTGAACTCTCTCCGGCATAATATGACGGGACGTGAAAAATGCGTAGGTAGTGAGTGCCAGAAAAATCACGAACAATCCCCACGTAGGTATCCGATGTTCGACTGAGGAAATACACTTGGCGCACACGCGTATTGTACGAACAAATCAATAGACGTTTTTTCTCACGATTCGAAGGGGAATAAAACGGATAAAACGGAAAAAGAAAATGTGAAAAAAAAAACCCAACACAGATAGTATAATGTGTATTACTTGTGTAAAGTGTATTATAAAAAAACCGGTTCGAGTCGCGCGAATGGACACGGCCGCGGACACAATAGTAAAGATAATAACATAATATACAAGCAATTATTATCGGTATCGCTCTGTATAACGGTATTATTATGTAATTTATTATTATTATTATTATTATTATTATTATTATTATTATTATTATTATTATTATACGTCTAGTGTTGTGTGTCGTCGTCTACGTCGCCACCGTATACCGCGAGCGGGAACGCGGTTGTGGTGTATGACCGCGGACGAGGTATATAATAATATTACACATTCGTGTACCCGGTATGTATATTGTTATTGAATCGTCACGGCAGTGTACTTATGCGGTACGTTTGTTCTTCAGTGGTACGTACGTATGTTATTATTATTATTATTATTAACATTATTATTTCAACGACGACGACGACAATAACGTCGCGTATTTCTCACTGAAACACGCCGTATTATAACACTCCGTTTTGGTATATAGTTACGTACATCGTACGCGCGCGTGTGTGTGTGTGTGTGTGTGTGTGTGTGTGAGTGTGTGTGTGTGTGTGTGTGTGTGAGCTTTGAGTAGATATTATACATTATGCCATCACGATACACGAGGAAAAAATATATTTTGAGCGAAACCGGAACGACTGTATTATTATTATTATTCGCATACATCCGGTCGTTGTCGGCGAGACGCACTTTTAAGTTGTACGTATCGTCAACTATATAAGACAATTATGGTTAATTTCTGTTTTTTGATTATTTGTCGGATAAAAATATTGCTCATTTCCGTACGCACTGTTCGTTTCGTTTTTAACATGCACTACATATTATCATTATTATTTAATATTATATTATATTATTATTACAATTAATTATTATTATTGTTGTCGTTTGTTATCGCCGTTGTCCGTATTATTATTATTATTATTATTGTTACGGCGATGACGAATCGGCGACGTCAGTCGTTTCGACCGTAGAAAAGAATCACACAGACCGGATACCGGAAACGTTTTGTTTTATGTTTCTTTCACTACCCCTCCTATTCACTTCCGGGGGAGGAAACACGTATAATAATAAGCGTCACGATCGGCCAGAATCAAACATGCAAATTATATACATACCTATATACAGTCGTATAATAGAATTTTATATCACAATAATATCGTATTACAAAGGACTGCTGTGCGGGGGACGAAATCACATAATAGGTTTATTGTGGATATATATTATTATAAATTATAATAATAATTGAATACTATATAATATAGAGGTATGGTATGACCGCGGTCTGAGCTTTGTCGTTTATTATTACATAGAGAGATTTTTTTAACTTGCGGCAATCACTCTACTATTATTGTTGTAGAATAGAACGTATACATTTTGTCCTTCGTAAAAAAATGATTCAAATCGGATTTCAACACATTATAGACAATTACAAAATAGATGTGAACTATTAATTTTTTAAAGTAAATTATCCGATGAATAATTGTTAATAGCAATTGAAAAGGAACAGGTGATACTGCAATGTATGAATGGCTTCACGCAGCATCACTGGCTTCATTAGTAAATCTCTAAAATTTATTTTTCCATATTACAAACCGGAACAATATTATTAATAAAGGGTTTTGTAAAAAATAAATGTACCTAATTGTATGCTTGTTGTCATTATAAGTTGTATATATGATATGACGTATTATGCATCCTTAAATATGTTCAAGTATGAGGTCTTCCTCGGGTGTCAGATAAAATATGAACTGAATCAGCTGAGACTGTCAGCTGTTGACGCTTTCTTGCATTGATGATAAAACACGAACAAAAACACTAAGTGACAATCAGATTCTCTGATAATCAAACATCAGAGACACTCCTTTACACTGTTTTTTGTGCAAAAGACGCGATCGCCTCCGGGGTGAGCGTGCGAATACAGTGAAACGGAAGAAATACGCAGAAGACGTATACATAAATGTATGTGTGAGTGTATGTGTGTGTGTAATGTGTATTTCGTCTTCGACCATAAAACTTCCACACGTTAAAGCTCAAATTTATCACTAGTCCCGTCCCCCCCCCACCCGCGTTGCATCACAATCCCACCCCCGCGGCACATATCATACGTATAATCATACAGGGTGGTGAGCGAAATCTGAGTTTCTCGTGACCACATAACGCCACTGCAAAACGATACTTCCCACCCTGTACGCATATTGCGTGTGTGTGTGTGTGTGCGTGTGTGTGTTGTACGGTGATGCACACACCGCTGGCAGTTTTCTATGTTCCACTGATAAGCCTGCACACACAGTACGTATACATATATGGGGGAAGAGCTCGGAGCTTACGATGACAAATAATAATAATATAGAGTAAATGCCAAAATGGAACAATGACAGACGAACGCCGGCGTACCTAAATAATGGAGTGTACGAGAAAAAAGAAGAAAAAGAAAATGATAAAAACAACTATAAATAATCGTAATCGCTACGAAACAACATACAATATATAATGTTTTTCTATGTACATTTACGTCGCCGCCGTTGCTGAAACCGTTCGTTTGCTTATAAATTTATAATATATTATATAATATCGGAGCGTTATCATATTATTATGCCTATATGCGCAGTGGATTTCGATTTTTGATACGAAAACCGTAGTGCGTAAGAATAGATAGGGTGATTGCGAGGTGAAGAGGGGGGGGGGTGAGACTGTGGAAATTGCTACTATACAGCCACCTAACCGAATTTTTGTAAACTTACATACTACAATAGTATTAAATGGCACTTGAACTTATTTTTTTACTATATTATTATAATTATATTATGTTATTCAAAAATGCTAAACTTTGCGGTGGCCAACGGCGTGATCAGAATATAATATATTAAATGGAAACACTTAACACGCCCAGCGAGTAAGATGCTAATGACATCGATCGGTGGTATATACTATGTTGTTAATTTTATATTATGACATGTGATTTTGTTTAGTTTTTATAGCTTCCTAGTGAACAGAGAAATGTATTGTGTTTATACATTGATATAATATTATACGTTCTACCATTATCTGTTAACACTTTTTTGCCAGGAAGCAGTAAATAGTAGTGATAATCACTGATAGACATAGTTCGGAGATCCAAATCCTGCATCAGTATGACAGATAACTTTGTAATTTCTCGATAAGCTTTTATCCAAACACATTAGGAAAAACTATAGGAAAACTTTCTAGAAAATTGTACTCATAATACTACGCGTTTACCATCAGCAGCCGCGGTTTTGAAATAGCTCTTCATCAAATGAGCTGCTGGCATTCGCGTGGTGAGAACTGAGAAGAGCTATAATAGACGAGCAGCCAACAACATCCGAAATCCACATCATCCTCGTTCAGTATACTATCGACTTTATCTTTCGTCTGAGATATGGGTATGTCGGTAAGTACATCCATCTTCCTATTTTTTTTCGGAAATCCAAACCCTGCTTTATGCTAGATAATGGTGCAACTTTGGTGATTTTTCAATTTTCTCGGAGCTTTTATCCAAATATACGAGGAAAAACTATCGGAAAACCGTCTAGAAAATAATACTCATAATATTATACTATGCGTATAATACAGTAATGATATGCTCACACATCATCAAAGCAATAAATTAATAAAATGTAACAGACGAATAAATAACTGCCATATTATCAAACGTATTAGAAATCGGAAATCTCCAAACCCCAAAAAAACCTTTTTCACAGACAAAAAGAATCTACTTACAGCATAAGATCACGAATTAAAAAATCAGTTTATGAGCATCAACCTTAATAGCAACAACCTCCGACTTCCAAATCCTGCGAGCAACAAGTGGACTCCTTGTAACGGACAAAAATCAGTGTGTTTTCATTATTTCGATTAGCGTTTTTGGAGTAATCAATCCGTGTCACATACAACTTTTGCAGCATAAAGCCAGAAGCAGCAGCGAGTTAGGTAAGGCATTTAATACAAAATATATTACAATGACCGTATTATATTCAGTGTTGGGAAAAGATGACCAAATAATTATCTGGATAAGATAACAGATAAGTCATTCAACATTTATCTAGATAAGATAATATATAACCACTCATTTTTTTATCTAGATAAAGATAAAAATAAATAAAATTTTATCTGTATAATAAACAGATAAATTTTTTTTTAAACTAAATAAATAAATTTATAAATAGTAAATTTGTATAATACACATGTATACTATCGTATTACACTATTACCTATTCATCCTGCATAAGCCTTGGCGAAAAAAATTTTGTATTTCTTCATTACACATTTATAGTTATGTAATATTTTTATTTGAATATAAGTAATAACAAATTATAATATATAACAATATATAGCAAATAATAGTTAATAAAGAAAACTTTTATATTATGTCATTTTTTGACTTAACACAATTTTAAAATAATTATTTTTTATAAATCATATTTTGATCTACAACATAACAACATTTGAAATGTATTATCACTGAGTCGACTGCGTCTTGGTGTTAATACTTGAACAGCTTTGCTGAATAGCCGCTCTACTGCTGCCGATGATGGAATGGTAGTATTATATTTTAAAAATACTTCTTTAATTACTGGAAAGTCATTTAAAATGTCAAGATCTTTTTTTTTTAAATTTAAAAAAGTTAATGCTTGCAAATTTGCTAAATTTGAATTTCTTGATTCGGATTCAGATGGGCTGGTAAAATCATTGTCATTGCAAATACTATCGAAAAAATCATCATCACTGTCATCCTTATCAGACTGTGTAACAGTCAAATTTGTTGATTTGGTTTCGGTATTTATTCTTAAGCAACATTCAGTAATAAACAGTTTCTTACATAAATTCATATACCTAATTGGTACCCAACTCAACTTGAATTTGGGATGACTTATAGCGGCTATAATAAAGTCTTTACTTTCTGGAAGACTTAAATCCAATATATAATTAAAACGAGTTTCGATAGCTTGAATAATAGCAATGTTTAAAGGTTTACAATATTTCAAATCTGTAAAAGATATTAACATACGCCTTAGAACTAAAATAGTTGGTGCTACATACCCTAAAAAACTATTGTTTTCACCTTGTAACTTATCTAGTGATATGGCTAATGGTTCCATAACTTGACAATATTCTTCCAAAAAAGTCCATTCGCTTAGTTTTAATTTTATTAAATGCAAATCATCAAATGCTTTAGTTAACTGTTGTTTATACTTTAAAACTTTTAAGCTTGAGTCATATAAAGAGTTCCAACGAGTTACTACAGGAATGGGGAATTTACACCCACACTTTTCTAAAATTTTGTCTGAAGCAACTGTGCTTCTACTAATGAGGGTCCAAAAACTAAACAATTTTTTGAATGTTGATTCAGATATACTAATGTAACTTGCATCTTTAATTTTCTTTATATCAGTTGTTGATATTAAATTTAGAGTATGTGCACAACACCTCATATGTGGAGGTAAACAAAATGAATTGTCTATAATTTGATCTTCAGAATTGGTAAATATTTGACCAATATCTACCACAGTTATATTTTCAGTTTCTACATCTGAATCCTCATAGGGTGAACTATCTTCGTTTAAATCACCTACACTTAAAGTAGTTGACTGAGTTGATTTGACACTTGTTGAAAAAGTTCTAAAAGCTTTTGCAAAATTACTTGCATTATCTGTAACTGTATGACTTATTTTTGAGTAATGAATATTATATTCTTGTGTCATACATGTCATTGTTTCAGTGATATTTAAGTAAGTGTGACTTCCGATTATTCGCTTACAGCCCAAAACAAATGATTTTCTTTCATAAGTTATAGGATCAATTAAATGACAAGTCATCCCTGAAAAATTATAAAATATTACTATTTAAATAATATTTCAAACATAAAAATGATTGTTACTAAACTTACTATTTTTAAATTGATAAACTACTCATTTTCAAAATATTTTCTTTGTTTTAACGTGCCAGACTTTTAAATAAAATTCTGGTACATAAATGTGATTATAAATATATTATATTTATATTCTATATTTATGTACTACAGTAAGTTATGAGTGCTATATTAAAAATATTATATTATTATATAAATTAGTATGGTAAAAATAGTTTTAAAATGTATTTAGTTGCAATAACTATGATGTATTTCAGTTTAAATACTATTGTCTATTATAAATAGTTTAATACTTAAGTTAAAAAAAAATGAAGGATACCTAAGTACCTATTTATAATATTTTAAAAAACAAACAATAGTTTAAAATCATACCTAGATAACTTTTATTATTGCCACTCCATATGTCTGCTGTTGTACAAATGAATTTTGATTTTTGAATCAAATCTGATAACATAGAAACATATGAATTGTAACTATTTTTCAAAAGTTGCAATATTTGTTTTCTATTTGGAATAATGGATTCGTCGTTTGAATGGGTGAGTCCCAAAATTAGTTTTTTAAAACTACGTTTTTCCACAGTCACTAGAGGTCGCATTTCACATACAATATATTCAAAAACAAGATCGTTTACCTGTTAAAAAAAATTTTAGTTATAAATAAATAAAATTTTAATAAAATAAAATAAATATTTTGATAGTAACAATAAATTGCTGTATTATAAATAATTATTAATTATAAATTCCAATCAATTTTTAATAATCAATATATTATTATAACTATAGACTAACAAATTATAATAGAGTAAAATGACAAAATGTTTTGTGTAATAAAATACATCATTTTTTCTCATTAATTGTTGATCTATTGTGATTAATATTAAATAAAATGTTTGAACACAATTAAACATAGGTACCTAATATATTTTAGTAAATAAAAAAAAAAAAAAATATATTAGATAAGTATATTATAAACCTTATAATAATGTAAATACTTTAATTGATTGAAATATAAAATATACATTTTCAACTACAAAGCACTTCAAGTATAATGTTTATAATATATGTATGATATATAAAATATATATAGGTAATAGGTATTTACCTAACTATACATAGGTTCTTGGATTATATTACAATTTACAGTAATACAAATTATACCTATATAATTAATTAATATAGCTATAATTAATTGTTATTGAATGTTAAGAATTATTTTAAAATTATAGTATTTTAAATCTTAACAGCCTCATAGGTAATCACAACAAAAAGTGTTAATTTGTAAAAACATACCAAGCTAAGAATATCTTAATAAAATATTATATACCTCTTGTTTTGAACAACTTTTGTTTGGTCCTGAATGGAACAATTTTGTTTGTTTTAAAATGTCTTTTTTTGAATTACCAGACATCTTCAAGATTTTGTACTCCTTAACTTGACTCATTATACTTGAATGTAATAACTAAAAAAAATTACATGAATTAAAAAACTATAATTAATATTTTGTACACTGTAAATTATATATGTACCTAGTATAAATCAACATATTTGAATGTTTTTATCTTTGTATGTTTTTACACTATAGTCTATAACCATATACCTACTACTCGCTTATGGAAACATTTTAAGTTGAAGTTGCTGCATACAATCACAAACCAATATTTAAAAATATAAAATAAAAATGTGCCTATTAACAAGTGGGGCAATCGCCATTCGCCATACACAATACACTTTTCTTTAAAAAATGGTAGGTGAGTTGTCACTCGCCACGGCAAAGTTTTTAATATTATTAGGTTTAAGTTTATCCTAAAGGCTAAGGGTTTGACAATATTTGCCTATGGAAATAATTATTAATTTAAAATAAAATGAATAATTTATTGTACCTTTATCTTTATTTTATGTATTGGGTTTTAAATGTTAATATATACCTAACTTATATTGAAATGTTAGTGTGTAGGTGGGTATGAGGATTGAGGATGGTTTAAACCTACCTGTTGTAAATTAGTATTAATTTGCTAAAATAATGATTTTAAGAACAAAATTAAATTAATTTATAGAATTTAATTTCAGAATTACAGTGAAAAACAGTAATATGGTTTGAAAAACAAATATGAATAGCTATATACTAGTTACTACGTGGTAGGTATTATTCCAAGAAATGTATGTACCTAAAGCATTGACTACTCACATATGTTATATCAGTTATATGTATGACAAATTAAACTTACTTTATAGTGACTTAATATGTTTCCAGTTGAATTGTTATAAGCAATAATTTTCTTCGAGCACAATTGACAAATAGCAGATATTTTTGTTCCTTCGACAGATATGATTTTGTAATATTTGCCATCTAGCAAGTAATTTTGTATTTTATTTTCTGTAGACTCCATTTCACTTGATTGAGACGGTCCAGCGACATTATCCCCATCGTCTATTTCAGATTCATTTACGGTATTGTCCTCGTGTTTTCTTTTATTTAAATATTTGTCCATTTCAAAATAACTAATTTCACTAGTACTCGTCAGTCGTCACTACCATAGATTAGTATTCAGTCACTAGTACTCACTACTCACTAATTTATTATCGAAATTCGAAATAGTAACAAGTAACAACTATGAGCGCATCGCAGTGCCGTGATGTTGTGAATTGTAATATCAACAATATAACATGATCCCTTCTACCAACGATAGAGAACACTGAAATCGTGGAATATTAAAAACTATTTATATCGTTTTCGAAGAAATATTTATTGATAAAAATTAATCATGTTAATATTATTATAATATTATAAATATCATATAATTTTCATTACACATTTGCAGTTGTTAGGTCACTACTCAGTACTCACGACCAAAATCTATTTATAAATAATATGGGTATTTCTCTTATGCGGCATGCCAGCAGCCCGGCATATAGTTATCCGGTTATCGGCTTATCGTAAATCGTAATGCATGCCATTTATACGCGTTTACACGAAAGCACTTAATATATTAGGTGTAAAATAATTGATAATATTATCATTTTAATATTTCGAGTATAAAAACAATAAATAAAAATTGAAATCTCAAATTATAAATTTATTAATACAATTTTATTTCATTACGTCGGTACTCGGTATATTATTAGCTAGTATTTAAAAATTTAAAAATTATTAATTTAAGTATAATATTTTATTCAGATAAATTGACACAGATAACCATTAAATTTATCTAGATAAGATAATATATAACCACTCATTTTTTTATCTAGATAAGATAATTAAATTAATAATATTATCTAGATAATTTATCTAGATAAAATTATCTAGATAATTCCCAACACTGATAATGAGTCAAAATTAAAATAAATAAGTATTTT